TCACAGTGCCTTTCTGCACAGGCAGACAAATTTATTATCAAATTTACATGGAAAAGGAAGGACATGGAATGGCTAAAACAATTATGAAAAAATTTTTAAAGTAGAACAAATTTTTTCATCTGGTATTTAGTTATGACATAACTACAGTAATCACAAAAAGAAGGTGATATTGGTGGTTGTTACAGACACAGAGATCAAAGAAACAGGATAGAAAACTAGAAACAGATGCACAAAGTACATTTGACATAGTTCTGACATAGGCACAGTAGCAGAAGAACCGGCATTTCAATAAAATTACATCTGCATATTCACTGTTTCACGAATAAAAAATAGAAATAAAAATTAAAATGTTAGAAAAACATATATTATGCAAATTTAACTCAAAATAAATATTAATTTGATTTTAAAATGTAATATATAAAGTTTTTAAACAATATTAAGTAATAAGAGTTTTTACTTAAAACCAAAAGTGTAAACCACAAAAAGGAGAAAGTTAATAAGCTGAGTCTCATCACAATGAAAATTTTACATTATCATAGACACAAGAAAAAGATTCAAAACAAGTTACACACAAGGAAAAGTACTTGAAAGTAACACATATGATTCAGGAAAACTATTTAGAATATACAGAGTCATCAAACTAAACATAAAAGACCAATCAAATTAAAAACAGACAATGTCAGGAATACGCATTTCATTGAAGACTATTTACAAATGGCAAATACATGCAAGAATATTTTCAATACAATTAGTATTAGAAAAATTAAAAATAAAGCTATAATGAAATACAAATAAAAATCAGTGTAGACAGTAGTTAATGTAGGATAATCATATCTGAATCACTGATATACCTCTCTAGTAAGCGGAAAATTCAGAATTGACATAATTAGAGCTCAATTTGGTTGCTTATGGCTAAGTATTTTAAAATGAGAATGAGAAGATGCAGCGGAGTAGTTGGAGATCTGACAGAAATAGGGGAGTGCAAAAATGACAAAAATCCAGAAGGAATGGTTGGAACCCATTCTGACTTAGTTCTCATACAGCTTAGCCCTATGTGTTCTCAGAGGTTAAGAGGCAGTATTGCTGCCTTCAGGACTGGACGATTCAGTTCCTCTAGCAGTTTTAAGTTTTTTCATTTTAGACAGTCTTAAAAAGTTATACACTTCAGGATTCATTTCAGATAACATTCTCAACATTGTAAACGGTAGAGAACAGTTTAGAGAATGGATGACAAGGGTTGTAGGGTGTGGTGCTATTTTATGGTTATAAAAGTTAATCCTTGCTATTGTAATATTCTTCATGTCTAGTATGGTGGAGGACAATAAACAATAACCAAATCTGTAACTATAAGGGCAAAAGTTAGTATTCATAAAACTAATTAATTTGAATAGAATCAGAAGATTATATCTTCTATACTCAGAAAGTATGTGTTCTCCAAACTCATGTTGAAATGCACACCCCACTGAAGTAGTAAATAGTATATAGTTGTTTTGGGAGGCCATTACAGTATGAAATGAATGATTAGATTAGACATTTTAAGATTAGATTAGATTAGAACTGGTGCATATATATATGATGCATATATATATACACACACACACACAGCCAAGAGGCCTGAGGCCTGTCTTCCTTTTATACCATGTGAGACACAGAAGTTTCCATCTCTCAATCATAAAGCAAATCCTCACCATATACCAATGCTACTGGCTGCTTGATCATTGATTTCCAGCTTCCAGAACTGTGAGAAATAAATATATGTTTTCATAAACCTCTCAGTTTGTGACATGTTGGCGAGGCTGTTCAGCAAACTCAGAGGGTATGAATGCTGTCTTTCTGACTATGGTTTTGCAGTTGTGACAAGATACCTTTAGTGGAAGGAGGTGATATACTAATGAATGTCTACTACTCCTCACAACTCACAAACTCTCTAAATGCCATGAAAGGAAGAACTGGTCAATCATAGAATATTCAGACTTACTGGGTCCCTGTGTGTTTGCTAGGGCAGGTGATAAAGGAGTGAGCATCCATCAGGTTTTTTATTTATTTTTTATTCTTTTTTTCTGGTCTTTACATATCAGGAGAAGAAACCAGAATCTGACAGGATTAGAAGACACTGGTGATTAATTAAGTATTATTTGGTTGTTTGTCTTTTGCCTCCCACTGAATACCATATAGCATACAGGAAGGGAAGACAGTAGGAATGAACTGGAATTTTTGCACAAGGAAGGGAAATACAAGCACTCTGGTGGGTTTTTGATGTGCAATCTCCATACATTACAATGAAGGAATTAAGATTAAAGTATGAGGTGTTTGTTGGGAGAAGGAGATAGACTTTATTCGGGGACAGTAGTAAGTATGTCCTTGTAAGCAATATAAGCACAGGATGGATGTGATGAATTGCATGCTTACTAAATAATAAAAGACCTAGTTTCCATGTTTTAAGAAATACATACATACATTGGTGCTTGGAAATATCATCCTTAATTTTTATAATCTGCCTAAATTGTTTTGTTTCATTATCTACAATTTTTACTCATAGAATTTCAGCAGAAAGAAATGAAACCAGCAAGTCACTTCCTGGGCAAGAATTTGAATCTAGATGTATTTAATTCGTAAGCTCTAGGTCTCTGCACTGTGAGAAGCTGCTGGAGGAGGGCAGATCACAATGCCCTCCTACATTGTGAAAGTTGTTTTATCGAAAGGCTTCTCATGAAGTTAAATGTTGCTTTTTATTTGTGTTTGTTCTCCCAGAGGTGAATGGTAAAAAATCGGTTTCAATTGTCTGTTCCACCTTTAGAGGGTAGCATGCCATTATTGGTATTTAATACCCAGGTCTGTTATTTAAATGACATGCCTTCATCTTACAATGATACCATCTTTGTGTTTGTATTGGTTCTTTTTTATAACAATGGGTAGGCAATCCCCTCCTTTCTATTTGCTAGTTTTCCGCTTTGCAAGGATCCATCACTCAGCCAATACTAACAAATAAGCAGCGTGTGTCCTAAACTTCCATGGTACATTAAGTTCAGCTCCATTACCTACCTGCACAGGAATTCCTAAACCTGGACATGTAAGCAAGCATAACAAAGCTATTCATCTTGACAGATAATTCTGCATATTATAGGGGTTGTTTATTGTCATTGTTTGATGATTTTTCTATACTTTAAGTTCATAGGTTCTCTTTGAGCATCCATTTAAAGTTGACGCATCATGCTTATGACCTCTCGGAAGTCAGTTTCTATACAGCACGTCACAATCCACTTACTTCCCAAAGCAAGGGCAAGCAAACAAAGCCTTGAGAAGTAATTTTCATGTTGAAGTCAGGCTGCTCTTCCTAATGAACTAACAGGAGCCACACTTTTCCAACGATCTTACTGATTTTTGCTCATAATTATTTGGTACTTCAGATTTAATTTTTAGAGACGTTTTAAACAAGAAACTCTACGTCCTATTCCATATCCTAAAAATGCAATCTGAAGCCTCAATAAGTAGTCTGATAGAAACGCTAAAAAGGTAGGTGGTAGCAGGGAATTTAAGGATGTTTCTGCGATCAGATTCTTCTTTGAATCAGTACATTTTTTCTTACCCTTTGCCTTTCTAAAGCACCTACCCTAGATGCAGATTTAACTTCTCGCCACTCACGCCATCTAGTGGTTAGGGATGTTAAAAGCTTGGCTCCAAGGAAGACACCTAATGACTGGGGGCGGGGTGCACGAAGACCAAAATCGGTTGGCCACTACAATTTTCCTGTCTCTCCTCACATCACTCAACCCTCACCCGGACACCTTTTCATACTTTGACCATTTTAGATATGCGCAGGGGATGCGCAAAGAGCTTGAATAGACACACACTCTCAGAGACGCACGCCCCTGCACGCTGACATTTAAAAAAAGGGTCTAAATTCTCCTGTCATTTGCAAAGGACGGGGGAAAGGAGTTGTGGCAAGACCTAGCCAGAGGAGACTTGTCTGACTTTTTCAGCAAGTTGGAAGGGTAATTTATTAACCTTAGTAACGTTGACATCTGTTTTGAACAAAAATAAATTTAAAAAAATATTAAAGAAAGAGAATCACTTAAAAAAAAATCTGCCGCGGAGCTTTGCAGGTTTTGCGACTCACTCGCCCCCAGAAGGCAACCAATTCCTTCGCGTTCCGCTTCGCTCACCCTCCTTCCCAGCTTTTCTCCAATTTTTTTTTTTTTGGCCCCCTTTTCCCACGCTCATCTGGAACCGGGGCTCCGGAGGCAGCAGTAAGTCACCGGTCCCCTTCCTCCTCTCCTCCACCAAACGACCGCGGCCAAGAGCCTTGAAGCTTCTCTTTGTTCATCCGAGGCTCGCTCATCCTGGGGCAGAACCACCTGGATGCTCTCCCTTGGAGACATTTGGTGCCTGGGCTGGTGGGTGGCTAGGGTGGAGCGAAAGGAGCCCAGGGGGGCGGGGGCGGAGAAAGGTCAAGGCGAGGGAAAGGCAGGAGACGCCTTTGCCTAACCTGCGTGGCGGGGCGTGCGTGCGGCTCTCGCTCTCTTCCCTGCTTATTTATCGATCGCTCGGGCAGAGCTGCGCGCCCAGCCCGGGGGAGATGCGGGACCACCCACTGGCGGGGAAGCAGCGAGCAGCCCTCTCGCGCCCCCGCGCCGCCGAGCGCCTCCTGCCTCCGCGCCCGGACGCCAGCCCGCTCGCGCCTCGGCCCCGGCCCCACGCCGCCGCCGCCCGCCCCGCAGCCCGACAGCCCCGCAGTCCCGGCACCCCGCAGCCCCGCAGCGCCCCGACCCCGGGGACGCCGGCCGCGCAGTAAGTTGGCAGGAGCGAGTGGCCTGGGCGGCTCGCCTCCCCCGCACCTTTTTGAACTTGTTGCTGTTTGGCTCTGCTCGCCTGCGCCTGGCTTTTGGGAAGGTGACAAGGAGGAGGGAGGCACGGAGGGTGGGGGAAGGGGACGGAGAGCTCGCCAGAGCTTTATTTATGCTCCCCGGGCGCCTGGGATCCGGCTGCTCCGGAGTCTCTGGCTCTCCCTTTCCTTTTCCGGGTGCAAGGCGACGGCAAAGTCTCTATGCAACTCAGCCCCGGCGCGCACTTTGCCAGGTATGTACCGCGGGCGAGGCGCGTTCTGCGCGGAGGCAGATGATGCTGCCGCCACGGCGGCGGCGGCTGCCAGCTCCCGGGCTCTCTAACTGTCACGCTGCACCTGAGCTGAACTTGAACAGAGAGTGAAGGGGCCATCGGGCGAACGCTCTCGGCGGGCACAGAGGGTGTCTGTCGACGTGGGGGAGAAGGAGCTCTAGACCGGCGCCCCCCGCCGCGAGCCCTGCTCTTCACCTCCATCTCTGCCAGTGCCGCGGGACTAGAGGCGGCCGGCGGACTCCCAGGGACGCGGGACAGTGGCTGTGACCGCATCTCCGGAGCTACAACAACAGGTCGTCTTTTTGAGACGCCTTTGGCGGGAAGGACTACTTCAGCAGAAAGGGAAGGTGAAAAGGTTCAATCTTTTTAAGAGACTACACCTGGGCGACTCCTCCTGCTTCCTCTCTCTCTATATTGGCCTCCTATCAACCAGACTGTGTCAGGGGAGAAGTGAAGACACCTGTTTGAAGAAACGGCTGTCTCCCCAAGTCACCTGTGAGCTTACACGTGCCAGGAGGTGCCCTGGTCCAACTGTTGGCAGAGATTTGTTTAGGTTCTACAGAGAGAGATTTTTAGGTCACTGTATTTTTTTTTCTTAGTATTCCAAATACTTGTCTGCGAGGGAAACTTGGCCTTGTGAGAACTGTGACTTCACCTGCGCCACCTTGGAATAATTGTGTTCCTGTGAACAGTGTTCCCCAGTGTTTTGTTTGACTTGAAGAAGTGGGCCATTGCGTTACTTTCCTTGTGTTACTTTGGGTGACTGTGATCACTCTTGAGACCTACACTTCCAGACAACATGGCGGCTGGTGTTGCAGCATGGTTGCCCTTTGCCAGGGCGGCAGCCATTGGGTGGATGCCTGTTGCCTCGGGGCCTATGCCAGCTCCCCCAAGGCAGGAGAGAAAAAGGACTCAGGATGCTCTAATTGTGCTGAACGTGAGCGGCACCCGCTTCCAGACATGGCAGGACACCCTGGAACGGTACCCAGATACTCTCCTGGGCAGTTCCGAGAGAGACTTTTTCTACCACCCAGAGACCCAACAGTATTTCTTTGACCGTGACCCAGACATCTTCCGCCACATCCTCAATTTCTACCGCACTGGGAAGCTTCACTACCCCCGCCATGAGTGCATCTCTGCTTACGACGAAGAACTGGCCTTCTTTGGCCTCATCCCAGAGATTATTGGCGACTGCTGTTACGAGGAGTACAAGGACCGCAGGCGGGAGAATGCAGAGCGCCTACAGGACGATGCGGACACTGACAACACAGGAGAGAGTGCGCTGCCCACCATGACTGCTAGGCAGAGGGTCTGGCGGGCCTTTGAGAATCCTCACACCAGCACCATGGCCCTGGTGTTCTACTACGTGACTGGGTTCTTCATTGCCGTCTCAGTCATCGCCAACGTGGTGGAAACAGTTCCATGTGGGTCTAGCCCAGGCCACATCAAAGAACTGCCTTGTGGGGAACGGTATGCCGTGGCCTTCTTCTGCTTAGATACCGCCTGTGTCATGATCTTCACTGTTGAGTACCTGCTCCGTCTGGCGGCGGCACCCAGTCGTTACCGTTTTGTGCGCAGCGTCATGAGTATCATCGATGTGGTGGCCATCCTGCCCTATTACATCGGGCTGGTCATGACAGATAATGAGGATGTCAGTGGAGCCTTTGTCACACTCCGAGTCTTTCGAGTCTTCAGGATCTTTAAGTTTTCCCGCCACTCTCAAGGCCTGCGTATACTGGGGTACACACTGAAGAGCTGTGCCTCCGAATTGGGCTTCTTGCTCTTCTCTCTCACTATGGCTATCATCATTTTTGCTACGGTTATGTTTTACGCAGAGAAGGGGTCATCAGCCAGCAAGTTCACCAGCATCCCTGCAGCCTTCTGGTACACCATCGTCACCATGACAACACTGGGGTAGGTGCTCTTGTAGGAAATGGGATGGAGATTGGACCTGGGTGGGTTGATTGTGAATCTCTTAAGGCTTCCCGATACTTTAGAGTGACTCCATTTTTTTTCTCTTAATGGACGTACGAAAGCAATAAAGATTTGGAAAATTATTTTGATCTGTGAAATGGGTATGCCAAAAGGTTGAAAGTACCAGGGAGTTTCAGGCAAATATTAATACTAGAAAGTGACAAGTAGAGAATTCATAGACTAATTAATAGATACATATGGCTTGTGTTTTCAACCTAAGAACCCTGCTTTATTTTACATAATTATAAACATTTTAGATATGATTATCAAAATATTTTATAATATATCATGTTCATTTTTATTATGGCTAATATATTTAGAATATCAGGCCTGAAAATAGTCAACTATACAAACTATAATGTTTGAAAGTCTAGGTTTGTTCCCCTCCCCCTCATTTTTTAAAAGATCATCTCTACAGTTTTGAGAAGTTATGGATCCCATCAGGAAAAGAGTCTACAGATTGTCCATCAAATACACATGGAAGGCAGAGTGGTGTCCGTGAGATTAATGGGTATCATAGGCCAGTTGCTGTGTAGAATTTTGGGTTCCAAATTTCTTCTAGAATTCCTTCCTTTATCCTTTTATTTGGGACATGAAGTTGTACAGACCAAAGAAATACATTCTGAATTCATGATTTCTGAAATGGACTTTTAAGGAAACAACTACGATGACTTTAGATGTTATAAAGAAGAATTATGAGAAATAATCATGAATCTTAATCAACCTGCAGGAAAGTAGCAGTACTTGTGATGATAGAAACACTAATAAAACAAAATGGAAGGGGCCGATTTCTTAGGTAGTCCTTGGAGAGATACGAGTGCTCCTTCCTGAGCTCTGGGCTCCCTTTCTTGCCTAGGTTATTAGCCTAGGAAGGATTTCGTCAGGACTGTAAGAGAAAAGTTATTCCCAAGACTGTGTTTTAACTTTTGTGTTTTTGGCTCATTAATTGGCTTCTTTAAGTGACATTGTGGCTAAAATCAACATACTTGTATTGGTCATATAGTGATGAACAAAATTTCTCATGTTATGTGTCAACTAGTGGAATATGTTTTTTGAGAGGAATGTTTGCCTGAGTTAATGAAGAAACTGGCTAAAGTAAAATATAATATTTTGGATTTTGATGAAGTCTCAAGGGTGTACTGATATGTTTTTAAACCAGGAATGAATGAAAGAAATCTCCATCATTTTGTTTTTATTTCTCTTTATTCTGTTGGTCATTTTGTGACAGATTGGAGGGAATGTGAAACACCTTAGCATCACAAAAGCTTACCCTTTCTCAATGAGAGTTATATTTTCTTTCTGTGTCTTTTGCCTTTTCTTTTTCTGTCTTTTCTTTGTGTCATGATCATGGAAGGACAATCAGGTAGTGTGTATTGCTGTCATGCTTTCACGTTTGAACTGTACTAAAGAAGATCTGTGTTAAGAAGAAAACAAAGAAGGAACTACTAAAAGGCAGTACATTTTAAAAAATTTGGTGGCATGCAGCTTTTTCATGAGGTCTCAGCGAATTATTTAATGTTGCATATTGTCTAGATGATTGAATGTGGATATCATTACAAGGAATGGGGATGAGTTGCTAATTTTAAGGAGCTGAAAATTTCATTCTAAGACTTGAGAAGTTAAGGGTAGCATTTATTTCTGGAGACAATTTCCAATTTTTAACTTATCTTGAAATATATACGTGGTTTCTAGAAAAATGAGGCTATGTTAGCTATTAGTTATAAGTTTTATTATATAAATTAGGTTCTTACCAGCGTTCTCTTGCAAATGAGTTAAAAAACTAAGTGGTGATACTTGAACAGAATCTAAGCAGATAGAAACAGTTAAATATACAGACATGCTAGAACATGGAAGCAACATGGGGTTGATTTTAAGATTTTTAAGTTTTACTGAAGTGGAAGATTTTATTAAGAGATTAAGTTAATTAATCACTCTTATGGAAAACAACATCAAGGCTTTTAATATGCAGAAGCAGTAAAAAATGTGAACACACATGAACATTTAACAAAGCCTATGCTTTATATAATATGCAACTGTCTCTTAGGGAATATCTGCAGTTCTCTTTGGAGTATTTTAATTCCTTGGACAAACAGACTCTTAAATGACTTGTCTTTTCAGTGTTTTACTGTTAGTAGCCTTGTGGCTCTGCTTACTTAAGAATGGAAGAGATGATACGACACATCTATCCCTGACTTTATCTTGCGTGCTGCAGCTTTAGAAGGTTAAGTATAAACTTTCTGGAAAATAAGCACTGGTTTTAGCAGTTGTCAAGCTGTGTTCGATAGACATTCAAGAAGAATTTTCTACCTAAGTGTCTAAGTTCTCTTTATGTAGCAATTATTTTTAATGAAGCTATATTTATTAATTGATGATATCAGATGTGAAAGTCTTAATCCACGTGTTATCAGAAATACCACCTCAGAGACGTAATATTTTCATGAAAAAAATGTAATCAGGACATTTTGACTCAGGTCTGACAGAATGGACTACTACTTCAGAGGTCACTGTCGACAATGTCCATTTGGTTAGGGGATTTTAAGAACTCAGTGTGCCTATTTGGGGAATTGCTGTATTTACATAATCAGTTTTGCCTTCCTAAAACGTCTGCTTTATCATGGCCTGTAACATGACCAAGCTTACTATGTAAATATTTAATCTTCCAGCAATATAATATATATATATGTATGTATATTATATATAAGAATATCCGGCCTTAAAACAATTAAACAAATAAAAAGTAGCAGGGTAGGATGGCACATGCCTTTAATCCCAGCACTCGGGAGGCAGAGGCAGGAGGATCTCTGTGAGTTGGAGGCCAGCTCAGTCTACAAGAGCTAGTTCCAGGAAAACTAGGGCTGTTAAACAGAGAAATCCTGTCTCAAAAAACAAACAAGCAAGCAAGCAAGGATATCCAGCTTGTATTAGTAATCGCAGAAACTATTGAAGCACATTAAAAAAAAAAACAATAAAAGTACAACAGAAAAAAATCTGTTTTGAAATGTTTAGATTGAGTGATCTGTGAATCAGTTCCTTTATCCCATCCTCCCCTCACTTCTGGAGCATATTTCTTGACAGCCGCAGGACCCAGTGCTGTCTCCCTCCCTTCTCTACTCTGCACTCCCCTTTCTACAGTGCAAACAGCATTGCTTTGAACTGCCTGAACCCAGAAAGAACTCTCCGCACCTCTCTGATCAGGGTTTGGGAGATCGTATCCAGTTGATGTATTTTACTGAGGTGCAAGTGCTTGCATACTGCTAAATTGAGGAAATTTCTAAGTGTTCTCTAATGACAATCAGGAATTGCTTTATGAACTATGTCGGGTGGCGTTGAGGCTCAGTTTACAATTCTACTGCAAGATCCTGACTCGTGAGTCGACAGAGATTCCAGGTTACACACTGAACACTTGGGGACTTATTATAATCTTAGGCAGCATTTGTGTTCTCAGTCATATTTTCTAATCATATTGCTTATAAAATGGAGTTCAGGAAGTTCTGAAATTTGTTTCTGTGGTCTATTTCACGTCTTTAAGCTTACGACTAAGTTGTTTTCTTCAAAGTTTTGTGTATGGCAATAAAAGAGTCTCTGTACAGTTTCTGAAAAGCTTATGCTTAAGATTAAATGCTGCGATGTTTAATTATATGAATTATATTTTGACTTCTGAGCTAATTTGTAAAAAAGGTAAAAAGCTGATATATTCACTGTAGGAAAAAAATACAGTAGAATTATACCTTTGGTCATAGATAATGGTATGATGGCAACTGTTTCTAAAGCCAAATTAAAATTATATTTCAGTTTTAATAGGTTTAGTGAATTATATTTTTTGTTTCTTTTCTGAGACAGGGTCTCAGACATGCCAGTATGGCATAAAACCATACTGATATATTTATACATCTGTAGCTGAGTCTGGCCCTAAACTCTTGATTGATCTGCCTCCAGATCCCGAATTTTGAGATTCTAGGCATGTGTCATCATACTCAGTTTGGAAATTTTCTTTGTGAGAAACAGAATGAATGAGAGTCTAGAGGCTAGCCCAATGGTAAAAGGCATACTTAATAGAATAGAGTCCTGAATTTTAGCCTCAGTATCAAAATAAAGTGTAAGAAAGGAGGAGAAAGCAGAGTCAGTTTCTAACAATGAGTCGGTTCTTCTTAGAATAATATTATTTGAGACAAATAGTCACAATATATGATCATATCTGCCATATAGGACATTTTTATTAATATGGATTATTGAATAGAAAGACAGAGTATCTTTTAAAAAAAGATTTTTGAGGTAGGGTCTCACTGTCCTGGAAATCACTATGTAGAGTGTGGTAGTCTCGAAGTCATACAGAAATGTTTTTAAATAACATCTTCTTACTACCTGTCACTAGGTAAGTTTCATAAGCTTGGGGAATGCTGGGAGGATAAGTTGCAAAATTTTTATTTGCAAACTTCCCCTTTTCCCAGCAACTCTGAAAACTGTGTGAAATCATGTTTTCTTGTGTCTTCTTCTACAGAAATATTGCTAATGTTTTAATCTGAAAACTTTTTCGAGGAAAGAGGCACACAGATGTATGTTCAGAGAGCACTGTTTTTTATTTCACTATGTTTTAGCACTTACATAAAATTCTTTATAGGGAATTATTGGATGTCAGCACTGACCTTTAAGGAAACACAGGAAAACAAGGTACATGCTTTTGCTCCTCATCATCAAAGATAAACAAATCTTAAATGGTTTCATTATATTTTACTGCTTAATTTGACATAGAAATGGTATCTTATTACACTTGAAAATTATATATTTTAGCAACTAAAATGTAAAATTCAGGTTTTCACTTGATTTCCAAATGGAATATTCCAGAAAAAAAAATTTGTGTGCTAGAAAGGGGGTACTCTGGTTTCTAGTGTGTCTGCTGAGCTTTCCCATTCTGAGTTCCTCTTGAGACTACTCATTGACTT